ATCAGGACTACTTTACTGGATGATTGTAGGCTGTACAAGTGATTGCTGATGGAATCGAGATGTCATTATTGATGTTTGTAGCCCCACAAGGTTAGCATTTTATGTTGTTATTCACGACGGAGTCTAAATTCTCCACTCATTCCTACATCTAACTCTACAGCTCTCCGCTGCCATCATTCCTACATCTAACTCTACAGCTCTCCGCTGCCATCATTCCTACATCTAACTCTACAGCTCTCCGCTGCCATCATTCCTACATCTAACTCTACAGCTCTCCGCTGCCATCATTCCTACATCTAACTCTACAGCTCTCCGCTGCCATCATTCCTACATCTAACTCTACAGCTCTCCGCTGCCATCATTCCTACATCTAACTCTACAGCTCTCCGCTGCCATCATTCCTACATCTAACTCTACAGCTCTCCGCTGCCATCATTCCTACATCTAACTCTACAGCTCTCCGCTGCCATCATTCCTACATCTAACTCTACAGCTCTCCGCTGCCATCATTCCTACATCTAACTCTACAGCTCTCCGCTGCCATCATTCCTACATCTAACTCTACAGCTCTCCGCTGCCATCATTCCTACATCTAACTCTACAGCTCTCCGCTGCCATCATTCCTACATCTAACTCTACAGCTCTCCGCTGCCATCATTCCTACATCTAACTCTACAGCTCTCCGCTGCCATCATTCCTACATCTAACTCTACAGCTCTCCGCTGCCATCATTCCTACATCTAACTCTACAGCTCTCCGCTGCCATCATTCCTACATCTAACTCTACAGCTCTCCGCTGCCATCATTCCTACATCTAACTCTACAGCTCTCCGCTGCCATCATTCCTACATCTAACTCTACAGCTCTCCGCTGCCATCATTCCTACATCTAACTCTACAGCTCTCCGCTGCCATCATTCCTACATCTAACTCTACAGCTCTCCGCTGCCATCATTCCTACATCTAACTCTACAGCTCTCCGCTGCCATCATTCCTACATCTAACTCTACAGCTCTCCGCTGCCATCATTCCTACATCTAACTCTACAGCTCTCCGCTGCCATCATTCCTACATCTAACTCTACAGCTCTCCGCTGCCATCATTCCTACATCTAACTCTACAGCTCTCCGCTGCCATCATTCCTACATCTAACTCTACAGCTCTCCGCTGCCATCATTCCTACATCTAACTCTACAGCTCTCCACTGCCATCATTCCTACATCTAACTCTACAGCTCTCCACTGCCATCATTCCTGCATCTAACTCTACAGCTCTCCGCTGCCAGAGGAAACGCTGCGTTCCCAATAATTGCCCATAAGCTAGATTTGATACACAGAGGAGTTACTTTGGAAGTTGCATTGTCATTTTATTTGGTAAGTTGTGCTCAAAATTATGGTAATGAATTGTTTCCGATAGAACGGTATATAGCACACAGAGATTCATTGTGCATATTTTACTAATATCGTACATGTGATGGAATCATCAGGTTTCAGTTTCAATTGGAGATATCTCTTTTAGTTGTTGCAGGAAGATAATCATTTGTAATTTTTTCGTTTTTGGCATCCACCCAAACTCTTATCTGATGTTGGCTGTAATTACATTTTGTTACACAGAGATTACCATACTGCTGTTTTGGATTGCCTAGAGGGGAAATCTTTCTTGTGCAGTTATGTGACTTATTGTGATAATGAGAATTATAGGAAAATTATGGTAGAAACTGACATTTTACCACATATACTGAGAAGATTGTTAAAAACGGGTTAAAAAAATATGACACTAATTTCTTCTGAATTCTTCTTATGTTCTAACAAACAAATCTCGACAAAAATTGTTCCTGGATCTCTTACTGATCTCCACCAATTCAAGTGTTCTTGTACATAGTAATTGTTGTGATCAAAATCAAGATTGCCACTATCTCGTGATCATTCAGGTAGCAAACTAATAAAATAAGTGATACAGGTGCAGTGGGTGTCATGTTTCTTTTCACATATTGAAAGGACAATAAATCATAAATCATAAATGAAATAAAAGCACTATCACCTGTACAGAAGAGTTTTCTAATTAACACCTGTCCACAACACTGTATCTGTACCGAGGTCTGATCAATAGTACACCTAACCAGAAGCCGTGGCTGGGTCCTTCCTCTGGTAGCGATCGAGTGTGTGATTCATGTACAACATAACTCATCTCCATAGATGAATATAGGTTGCTTTCAGAACGTTCTCACTGCCCATAGTGATATATTGAAGCTTTCCACTTTTCTACTTGGAATTCATCCCATGATTTGTATGAGGGGAAAAAACAGACAAATAATTACTGCTTTGCGCTGGAGGAAAATTCTGAGAGAACGGTCTTCTATTTTCTATCAATCTTAGCCTTGACAGCACTTCGCAATTTTCGGTGTTGACAAAACCTTTTTTCAGTTTATATGAGTAACTAATACACAGTACGCAGAGAGGAATGTACAAAGTAGGCAAATAGGTTTATTCTAATTTAGTTGAACACAAATGAGTGACAAAGTGGTTAGGCATGTGATTTGTTCAGCGATTAATATCTTGAGGAAACAATGGAGAAGGCAATTGAAGGGGAAACTATTACTCTCACAAGACATGCAGAGTAAGTCTGAATTGAAGTAGATTAAAATCTCTCTCTCTCTCTCTAATATTCATATATGCAAAATTGATTAAAGTGTCGTTGATTGTAGCATCTTGTTGGAAAATTGTTTTAATTTGCAACTCCGTTCATCAAAGTAAGATGTTTTGTTTCTTCTATGGAGGAAGTTTAGGAGATATTGGCTTGTCGCCACAGCAAAACAGGTTGGGTTTTGTTGGGGATAGTAAGTCATCAAGCTGTGACATGTTTGTACTTTTTTGCCTGCAGTGAAGGCACAAATTTTGATTTATTAAAAATGAAATGAAGGAATAATTGAATCTTGGTATTATGTTAGAAATTAGTTCCATGATAAAATTACTCCTTGTTCTCGTCACGGTATGAAAATTGATACAAAAAAATGTTATTCATATAGAATGTTATTTTCACAGTTGATATCTAATTTGATGTTGTAGATTTAATGAGAGAAAAATATGGTAAGGACCAATTATATTTGTAATGCATTTGATTTGGTGCAAATAAATGATGCAGGGTTAAAATCGGGTTGGGGGTGTCCTTTTGACTTTTTCTAGAACATAAAAAAATATAATGAAATTATGGAAGGAAAGTAGAAATTGTATATATGCATTCCCTCCTGACTGAAGCGTAATATAAATATGAAGTCATCAAGATCATCATCAATAGCGGCTGATACATATGTAGCTATTGACTTAAGGTGGCTCCACACATCGTCATCAGCGTCCATTTTCGTGACGTACTTCCGGAAAAAGTACAGCTCGGACTCAATTATATTGATCGAAATGTGCATGTACACCGTGTCGTCATTTCCGTATTGCGTATCGGGCATTCAATATCGTAGTGCAAATTATAGTAACACCTGGGCCGTTTTCGTTNTGTATTCCCATCAACTTCACAATCTGGATTCTATTACTTTTCCATTGTCAAATGTTATTGTAATGTCAATGAAGGACAGGATAATAAATTCACTGATCTATTGAATTAAAAGATTTAAATGTCAGAATAATTATTTTGCAAATTGCAAAACAATCATGAGTTAAGAGTTGTTGAATATTTGATAGCTTACTGATTTTACTGAAGAGCTGAAAGTGTAACCAGTGAAGCATCGTGTTTGCTTGCGTTTGTGACTGAGAATGTGTCCTCTTTTCATCTGTATAATGAAATATCTCACCAGCTCAGATTACGTAATGACATCCCACTCCAGTGTGGCAAAGCGCTGACATTGATGAGATGTACACACACAAAAATGCTGGCTTCGAATTTATTTACATTAAATTATGGAGTAAGCTTTACAAACCTTTCATAAAAGCCTGTACGTTTGTGTATAGCGCTAATATGAAATTACCATATGATACATTTATATATATATGACGGTATATAAAATCATGCATCATCATTTTATCCATGTATTATATATTATGTATATGGGAATAAATTGTTAATCACGATATTAGAGAAATTATTTCAAGTTTGCAAGTTAATTGATGTGATGGGAATATATACATTTATATAAACATAATGTGGATTTTATTAATGGGCAAGCCAAGGTATGATCAAGGATGCAAGATTTAGTTTTTTAAACAGTATGTGAGTATGTATACCTAGAGTGCGTTTGTGTTAGGTCTGCAGTGTGAGATGTGCAGGTTGTAAACACATGTACACATTATCAATAATTAAGTTGTTTTACGCCATAGATGCATCATACACATCACATATGCAGAGGTAATATGATTGAAAAGTTGTTTGATCTTGGATGCTAAAAATGGTTTCAAGCAAGTTTATGTAGGGCTGACGACATAATATAAACATGTATTAGATTTTAAGCTTTCAAGCTACATGTAGCAGAATAATTAAAAAAAACCTAGGTTCTCTCATCAGAGTTAATCTTGTTGTGGCATTTGTGAATTATTGATTATGTACAAATGATGTGGTAATGCATGCTGTTAAAGCTTATAGCTGGCTATATAGCTAACAGCACATCTGTTACTGGTTCACTGTTCAGTAACAAGTGTATCATCAACTGAGCACAGGTCTAGATATATCAGAAGTAACGGAATAGTAAGATATTGTCTAACCCAATGTTATACTCTCACCTGAAATGTCCTTTGTAGCATTTACTATAAATATACATTATGTTTGCTGACAATGATCTGATAAATCTGCAGTGTGGCTACATTTGCATATGAAAGGACGAGAATACATTTTTTTAACAGTCGGTATATGTAGATTATATATATTGTGAATAGGAAAACAATCAATAACTATTAGAATGAGGGGAAAGGATGCCTTGAAGAGATCTCATTATTCATGGCTACACCAGATAAGTCTGTAATGACAAAGGGTGTGAACGTTTGTATTATTGTTGTGTTGTAGGTGAATGATGAAGATTTGTGGGAACAGATCCAAGGCGACTTCCATGTCCCCAAATGCTGCAGTAATGGAACCCAGGCCATAAAACACATCTATATCAGGTCAGTGGGATTTCGTTTAAATGTAAGCACTATACAGGATATATATTCAGTATATTCACTCCAGATTTCCAACACGCATCCAAGATAATAATTCAATCTTCTACCAAACGATAGTTCCATTGAAAATTGATACATTATTGAAAAATGCTATAGCTATATTTATAATAAGACACAGCCTTAGACTTGTCCAAAGTTCAGTTCTTGACATAAATCTTTCACCGAGAAGTCAATCCTACTTCAGTCATATAATGCAGTACTTTAATATTGTCATGTACATATTAGACGTAAAACTTTCAGCATTCAAATTTGGACTTAAATCAGGATTCTTTCCTGATCATGGACTTAATCTTCATCTCGGTCATATATTTGTCAATTTTTTATAAAATTTGAGAACCTGCTCACTATAAAAAGCATCTTGTTGCTATGGTATTCAGTTTCAACAGACTTCACCTAGCTTTCTGTCTATCAGGTTCTATTTTCTTGCAAAATATATTCATTTTCAGTTTAAGCAATACAATTTTTTTATTTGATCAAATCTAAATCTCTTAGAAAATGATTGAGATTCCAGGGCTAAGTAGCTAGCATAGGAACAATCAGACATGTCACTTTGAATGGAGTTTTAAAAAAAAGACAGGAAATTGAAGCTTGTAGACAGATGATAATAAAAAACTAAATGAACTTCACTTTGTTGTTTTGCCCTGGAATTTACAATATTCCCTGTTTCTGGCGAAGTCCCAACATAACTGCAAAAGCCTGAAGTTAAAAAGGAAAGTGAAGATTGTATTTCTTTGTGAATTAGGGTTTTATGACTAGAACATTAAAACCTTTTTAGACCATTTAAGCTAAAGTGCATGCTTTATGAAGGTTAAAAAAATCCATAGATTTCATGATCATTTTAGCCTTTTAAGAGTTAAAGTATCCAGTGTTTTAAAAGTTTAAGTATTGCATCATGATATTGATTAAACCATGAATTCTAGTCTTACACTTAAATACATTGATGTCACACAAAGTACTAGAATTCTTTGAACAGCACTAGCTAGGTAAACCATGCATCCTTAAATAATCTGGCAGTAGCAAGACTTTCAGTAGACCCTTCATTGTCATCCCCAATATCTAAGGGTTACGCTCACTTTCACACTCTGCACCCCTTGAATATGTCATAGGAAAATCGAAGGCTCAATGTGCAGCACCTTGGGTACGCGAGGAAAAGACTAGTTTGATCCTTTGATACACATTGTATATATCAAACGAATCCCGCGATCACACAACAGTTAAAGTTGCTGGTTTTATGACCTCATCATTATGTGAACAGAAATAATGTAACTAACAAAGGCCTCATTATGTGAACAGAAATAATGTAAATTACAAAGGCATCATTATGTGAACAGAAAATGAACCTTACAAAGGCATCATTATGTGAACAGAAATAATGTTACTAACAAAGGCCTCATTATGTGAACAGAAATAATGTATCTTACAAAGGCATCATTATGTGAGCAGAAATAATGTAACTTACAAAGGCCTCATTATGTGAACAGAAATAATGTAACTTACAAAGGCATCATTATGTGAACAGAAAATGTAACTTACAAAGGCATCATTATGTGAACAGAAATAATGTACCTTACAAAGGCATCATTATGTGAACAGAAATAATGTAACTTACAAAGGCATCATTATGTGGACAGAAATAATGTACCTTACAAAGGCATTATTTATGTGAACAGAAATAATGTACCTTACAAAGGCATCATTATGTGAACAGAAATAATGTACCTTACAAAGGCATTATTATGTGAACAGAAATAATGTACCTTACAAAGGCATCGTTATGTTAACAGAAATAATGTAACTTACAAAGGCACCGTTATGATAACAGAAATAATATGTAATGTATACATGATATTAACAATGTCATCATTATAGGAAGTTGAGAAAGTGTCTGTCATACATAACAATATAACTATCTTGTGTAAGGAAAAAGCAGCCAACTGTTTAGGAGATGTATTCATTGCCTGTGTGTGGTGTAAGAGTTATAGTAAAAGCTGAGTGATTGTTTACAGACTGAAATAAGCCCCAGTAATAGGTGCTGAAGCATGTTGATAGATTGAGTAGTGAGGCCGTATAGCAGGGCATGGGCACGTGTTGTGTGGAGGAAGTGCTGAACCCTTCAGACTTCACAGAACCTTTTAACATTGATTTTACTATCATCAAAGCTGTACACTGGCAGGGCCAGTAAAATTTTATTTATATTTACTCGAACATGCAAGTATTTCTGTCAGGCGAGCCCTTGTCAGTCTGTATAATGGCTCCTTCTCACATTTCTCTGCCCATCAGCAAATTGTTTGAAATTTAATGTTGATCGGGGAAATACTGACTGACAAAACAGTATGTCTACAGAAACATGAGAATGCCTGGTTGGGTGAGGATTTTATAGAATATGAATACATGTTTACCACTTTCTGATATGTATAGCTTTGTGAACAATTATACTATTTCTAGAAAATGGTATGCATTTAAGCACATGAATTTAGATACATCGAACTTATAAATAAACAAAAAATGGAAATGAAAAGTAATGATATTTGTTTCATAAAGCATAAAAGATATAAAAGTAAAAATGCATTAAAGCATGCCATTGCGACAGTTTATATTAGGCTTCTCAAGAATCAAGCTAAGTAACTTTATAATTGTACAAATTCTGACCTAATACGCTTTCGAAATTAATACGACTATATTTGTTTGCTGTCAATACAATATATAAGGCCAAATTGATAGAAAGAAATACAGTAGGTTGGGAGGGCAACTATGCAGGTGTCAATAAATTGATAGGAAGGGCTAGTGGAAACCCCAGCATTTCTTACTTGTTGGGTGTACAACTGAAATAAAATCTTGACATGCATAATTCACTTGCATAGCGTACAGTTACTTAAACTCATTCTATACAGTATGTCTAGTCACGGGAAATTATTGAAATGTTTTGAAAAAGTATGGTTCTAGAGTACAGGATGCGCTGCTGATATTTTGACATTACTTGAATTATTTCTCTTTAATAAAAAAAAAAGACTACATGGCTCGATCCTATGTTGTGGATCAATTATCTCCAGGGTACAGTTGTTCATCAACTTATTAACCTAGCACAGATGTTTCTTGTCTGTCCAGTATATTTTCAAAGATGGGGAAAAGTTGATCTTTTCAGTATTGGATCACCTACCATTGGTGGCATTAAAAGATAAGAAAATAAATCCTGTCATGTAAGAGTACAGCTCCGTTAAGCATCATATGGGTGTTTTCAGACTTTGTGATAATATTTGGTGACTGCTTGTTGAGCTCTGTTGTATATTGTTTATATTGTTGACTTCCGTTTAAACTGTTTGGTAGGCTAGTGGTCTGATATATATATGATCTGTTTTGTAGGCTAGTGGTCTGATATATATGATCCTTTACCAGTGAACTCTCTGTCTGTAATAGTTCGAAGATTTAATGTCTTGATAAGATACAGTAGCAATGTTTTGTTTTTGTAGGCTAGTGGTCTGATATATATGATCTGTTTTGTAGGCTAGTGGTCTGATATATATGATCTGTTTCGTAGGCTAGTGGTCTGATATATATGATCTGTTTTAGGTCTGATATATATGATCTGTTTTGTAGGCTAGTGGTCTGATATATATGATCCTTTACCAGTGAACTCTGTCTGTAATAGTTCGAAGATTTAGTGTCTTTGATAAGATACAGTAGCAATGTTTTGTTTGTTGGAAGCTTCAAATTCGTTATCAAGGATGTAATTATTTTGTTACATAGACATTTGGACAAGTATGAGAAGGTACACTTCCATGGACAAGACCCAGACAGCAAGTATGTCGAGGACGAGGGCGACACTCCAGCTCGCAAAAAGGTCTGCCTGCCTATTTATGGTATCCCTAGTTCATACAACTACAGCCAACACAGGGTACCAGGTAAGTAGACACGGGAGATATACAGGGCTAGCGTTTTACTTCAGATTAATTATATTTGTGTAATGTTATCTTTGTTCATGAGGATTGAAGTTTTTTACCTGAATGAAAATAATTCATATATAACAAAAGACATTTTGAGTTAAACACAAATTAGTGTCTCAGAAATATGTACAAAAAACTGAATTTGTGGAATTTTATTTGCAAAAAATATACATCATCTGTAGAAAAAAATTAAGTCACAGATATAAAGAATCCTTATAGAACACTTTAAAACACAAATATCAATTTGTAGTTAAATATTCATGCTATCTGAACAGTGTTAAATGATTTCTACTATTTTGATCTACAGTCGAGCAGTTATTTTGAATTTTGACACCTATAATTATCAGTTTGATTTAAACCATTCTTAGGTCCTGTGGATAATTCAGTTTAATTGAAAATTAATTTAATACCATGAATACATTTTCATCTCAAATGCATTCCCTACGCATTTCACTTATCAAGTTTTGCTACCATATAATCAGTTTTGAATAGACAGGAAACAGCTTTTTGCAAATGAAAATATTCAGTATATAGGCTACATTGCATATTATAATTGTGAATTGTGTTTCAATCATCTTGATTCAGAAAATTTAATTAACTTTACGCATGTTACCATTTATATGTCGAATTGTGTAACTTTGAAAGGTATCATTTATTATAAGATAACAATAAATAGAAATGATAATTTGAGGTTCTTATATACCGCTGTATCACAACCGAGTTAGGTCTCGAAGCGGTTCACAGATTATTATCTGTGGTTATGTGGAGATGTTAGTGTGAAGCTATTTTGGAAAGGAGATGCATTGGCTTTTAAAATTATTGCAGGTGTTAGTTGCCTATTTTGGAACTCGTTTGAAAATGAGATGCATGTCACAATAATGTAGTAGTATATATATCCTTAAAGAAATAATGGAAAATAAAACTGAACATTATAAATAGTATCATTGCCATATAAAAAATAACTATAATTTTCTTCCATTTTGTTTAAACTTTTCTTTTTAACAAATTTACAGAACCTATTAGGCAGTCGCATGGGTTTTCAACAGATTATGTCACGATCAGCGATTATGAAAAACTGGAAAAAGCACTTATGTCAGGCCTGCCAAATGAGGTGGACTTTGTCATTAATGTGTGTACGCTGTTATCCAATGAAGGAAAGCATGTGTTACGGTTGAAAAAGTCCCACCATCTACTAAACCTGCTTATGGCTCATATAGGCATATTTGTACCAGGTAAGTACAGCCAGTACGGCCAGGATTCATTTCATGTAAGCAGTCTGATTGATTTTCTGACTTAATTGCTTTCAATTAAATGCATTGTTTAAATCCCCAGAAAACATTTTAAGGCTATAACAAAAAATGTTACTTTTTATAATCAAGTTAAGATTTAAACATGTATTGAAAAAAATATCTAATTTGAGGATTTTTTTGTCACAATTCTTATGCTATTGTAATGTAAGACATGTTTAATTTTAAAGAATGATTGTGTTATGACTAATGGGTTGATTATTCAAATTTCCCTTTTTCTCAGGGTGTGAAACTTTAGAAGAGGTGTACGAGTCCAACTGGAGAAAATTCTTGCATAGAGATTTTATACATGTAAGTGTTTAAATGTTATTCTATCATGTCATAAAGGTAACCTGCTCTTATTTCATGTCTGTCAATCCTAAACATTGACACACAATTACTTTTAAATGTTAATTAATAAGTAATATTAACATTCAGGAAAGTCTCAAATATATACAGTGTCCTTTATTGTAGTACAGAAATTAAGTTTGTGTATGGGTCTATACCTTCACATCTTGAAAAGACGTTTTAAGATATGCTTGATTCAAGTCGATATTTGTCTCTAACTTTACCACAAGCTTCTTTGTTAAACAGTGGCTATGCAGAAGTATAGAAATACTGTAAACTGATCATGTCCTGATTAGCTAGTAGAACCTACTTTGTGTCTATATTACCTTTATAAGCTGCCACACATGATGTGAACATTACAAGACAGTAACTTTCTCCTCGTTTTGATGTTGATTGTGTACTTTTCTTTGAAGTGTTCTTAATTTACATGATTTTCCTTTCTCGTTTCCAGTTTTGGTATGATACAGTCAAAGATACAGAAGCTAAGAAATTGATTATAACCTCACGGAATTATAATAGAAGTGAGTATCCATGGCAACCTTGCAGTGAGCAATGCTGATAGTGGTGTCGTTAAAGAGTCGAGCTTTACTGTTATAATGGGAGGTACATTAGCTTTGTCTGTACATTAAGTTTTATGTAGATACGAAGTGCAGAAAGTAACTTCGACTCATATAAACAGGTTACCAGATAATGACACTAACTTTTTGAATTGGCGCCTCATTACTCTAAATACTTACCCTTTCACCCCTATGTAACTTCAGTAGACTCTACCATGCATTGATATGGATGAGTCCATTACGGTCTACAGTGTTGAAATGGTTAAGTCTTTGTGTACATGGGAACCTATTTAATCTAGTGATTAAAATCTGGTTTCTCTGTAGAGAAACTAAGTTGCCTAAACACTTTATAAGTCCCGCACTGGAACTGTCAAAGGGGAACTAGGTTTGTACTCTGTCCCTTAATATATTACTTGTGTCTGACACATATTTTATATACTTGTCAAGTGTTTCCTACAGTTGCCAATTTTGTATCTAATACCTCTTGAGATGGCGGATTGTCGTGCACAAACTTAAAATCAGTAGATGGATATTATAAATAAGAAATTGCATTTTTCATTGTTCAATCATCTGTCCATATGACATCTTAATTAGACTTAATCTTAATTACTCTTATAATAGAGGTCCAGTATCATCATTCTTTAGGAGTACCGGAACAGCATGTCAAATCTAGGACACTGACCCATATTTTCTGCTTTACTGACTGGTTTGACATTGCATTTAACTCCAGTGTACTTATATTTCCCTCGAAGTAGAGGAATATGTTTTATTTTACAAGCATATTTATGAAGTTCTTACCAAAGGTTGGGGTTCATGAGTTGCCTGCAATATTTTGCCTTGTTTCTTAATACAGTGGAATTTCTGGTATTTAGTCATGATACTTTGGCTAGGAATGTAGTTAGCCTATACAGGTTGGTGAGATTTACTGAAATGAAAAGTACCTCCAAGAATTTGTGGTAAAAAGGATTTTTGTTTTTGTATTTTTTTCCTTTGTGAGTAGATTCATTGCCAAACTTGCGACCATCTAGATTCATAACAAAATCTGTTATTTTGTAATGTTGTTATGCCTTGGTCCAACTTTAGTTCTATTTTGTGTTTCCTCCTTAAGAACCCTTGATAGGCGAAGAAGTACTCAATCTTGGTCGTGACAGGGGCAGACATGACTTGGAAGGACAAAGAGTGCTACAGGTAAATAGCATAATATACCTACTAATAGATGTATCTCGCACACTGTTGGGATCTGTACCCTCCTACACTTGTTAGCTTCCTATTTGAAGAATAACAGCCTGTATAACATCTTGTCCAGTCCAAAACATTAATTTGTTTAAGATATTTTGATGATTTTTTAGGCGTTCCTTTATTAAACACTTTCTATCTGTTGATGATATTTTAAGCAACCCAGTGTCACTTAAACCTTCGCTTCTAGGTTAAAGGTCAAATAAATGCCAAGCAAATACACATTGGGTTTTTGTCTTTTAATTTGCATTGAGGTTCCTGTTTTAAAATTGTTAGCTTGTTTTGTCGTTCTTGTTTTAGCTGTTAATTTGTCATTGCTTTCCCTAAATACCACATTTCACCTCATTCTTTAGGCCTCGAGAATCCTATCTTATTCTCCGGGCAGGTATTTTTTATTTGACTGTCATCTTCTTAATACTGAAATATATATCTTACATCTTGATTTCTTTCCTTGTAGCTGGCTGTCATTATAAGAAATTTATCTTTTGAGGAAGAAAATGCCACTTTTATGTCTTCAAATGATCTAGTCTTCAGGTGAGAATGGTTGTTCTCTTTAATGTAACAGTGGTAGATTTTATGTATGTTTTAAACATAACTTGATATTTACAATAAAAATAATGAGATCTGATTTCTATGTGAAATTGTTTAATACAACATCAAATTTTTCTGCACAGCTCAAAAAAAAAATGACAAAATATTTCCATAACAATAAGGGCAGTTATGTAATTTATCGATTTTTTTTGTTAAAACCAGATCTGTCTTCCATCTCTTATATTAAATTACCTTTAAGGTTTTATGGGTGGTGGGGTTTCTGTAAAGAGCCTCCCACTCCTCCTCAACCGGTAATTCTGGAACAGCTCTGAACAGAAAATACTTAAGTTGTGAAAATGTGCTGATATACAGTAAAACCTGAAAAGTACAAATTCGCTTCCTTTCAAATTTCTTGCTTATAACAAAGATATTTTTTTGTCTCCTAGCAAGAAATTGTTTCATGATTATCAAGCTCTACAATGGTACATGTCTATAGCAACCTAAAGTCCACCAGGGCTCAATAAACATGTTCTACGATATCCTTGTTATCAGTATTGTTTGAGTGATCAGACCATTCTTGATCAGTTCTTCATCTGAGATTAAGAACACTTGAAGTTTTGATAAATCCCTCTGGCTTTCATGCAACTGATTTGTTGTCCATCTTCCCTGGTGTTTGAGTTATTAATAGACACCAGTAGCTCATCACAGACGCCTTTGTGTTTTATGCTATCATGATTTTGTCTCGGTGTCATCATTGTTGTTTGCTTCGTTTCAGGTTTCTGATGTTGTGTATACACAGTAGTTATGGGTGTTTGCGACCGTTGGCACTGGATACCCTTGGGAATCTGGCTGAAAAGGTAACAGCTAGTGTGATTTATTGATTTTATTTGTCCTCGAGAATGACAGAACTTGTGTAATATAAGTATTAGGGTTAGTGTACTTTCAAAGAGAAAACATTTATGTTCATTATCATCACAATGATACATTTGTGTATTTTTAATTGAATTAAAATACATAAGACTTAGAGAATTTTCCACTCTCTATACATCAAAAAACACCACATCAATATGTTTATGTTTTTGATAGATTTATAACTAATTCTGCCTGACAGATTATTTTTTATAGATGATCACTACGTGTGTATTCCATAACAAACACCAGCCACTTTCCTCATGTTCTTCCTTTTCCTTAACTCAATTATCTGTTAAGTTATTATATTTTGCAAGGAAGTTTTTGAAAATAATCAAGGTAAGAGATCAAATGTTAAGAATTTGTTTTTCAAGTAAACTTTTGAGGATGAAAATGATGTGTGTGATGCATCATATGCTAGAGCTGTTTGAGAATGAGATCTCGTTGTCCGTACAACAGGTCAGGTACTGGGACCGTTTTGAGAGACAGTTGTTGATTGTGGTTTTGTACTTTGCAGATGGTGCTGATCCCGGACAAAGAACAAACAGACATGGTGCTAAATCTGATCTGTAGATGCTTGGCTGCTGAGGATAAGCTGGACGTGGTCAGAGGTTAGTCACCCAAACAACTTTCAACATGATTAGGAATCGCTCTTTTATGCAGTAGTTTTTTGTATACATGGAAAAAACATCTCTTTCATGTTTAATATTCAGATAAAATTATGTGGCAAGCAGATAACTGAAAAATAAAAATGAAATTGGATAGACTTTTTGTGCACCCTAAGCTTTGTGTTGTGCTTGATAATTATATTGAGTGATGTACTTGATAACTGATGAGTGTGAGAAAGTAGTTATCAGGACTTGTGTCAAAATTATGTAAGGGCTATTCCAAATACCAATTTATATATAGTGCACTTTTGATGAATAATATGTGGGTAATTGGGTCTCGAGGAGTTTAAACATATATTTAATGATTGGAAAAAAATATGGGTGGTTGGGTCACAAAAAAGGGGATGAATGGATTTTATGCTGTCCATGCCTACCAACTTGGTTTTCCATATATGGCGATAGGACACCATTTTGAGGTCATCAGGTAAAGGTGAAGGTCATCTCGATAAATAATGATCTGACGTTTCTATTTATAATAGAATATAATAGCATATATATGTGTTCAATTTAAGTTTAAAAAAGAATTCATGTCTATCCAGGTCTGGAAATCTTGAGTAAGCTTTGTATGAAGGATGAGAATGATGTGATACTGGAGGAGCGACTTGATGACCGTATCTACGAGGACGTGATTCGGCTGCTGGGCGTGTATGACATCCAGATCATTGTTCATAGTTTGGAAGCCCTGTACCAATTGTCTGAGATTGGTGAACACTCCGCTACCAAGATAGCTGCTGTCAAAAGAGCTGTTGGTATGTTGTGCTGAAAACAAGTGTTGCTAATGTAGGGGCATGTCTTATTGTTAATGTAAATAGCAAGTTCTGATATTCCAAAATGGTTGTATTTTGGCCATTATTACCTATTAACTGATATCATGGACATAGTCAAAGTTACTTATGGATGGGAAACAGATTAAACAAAATATGAAGCTGTTTTAGTTGATATGTATATATAAATTTATATTTATTTAAACATTGAATTTTGCAACACTATCTGATACGCTACCGTGTTTATTTAGTTATTACTGGATAACATTGTCATCATTTCGCTGTAGATTTCTTGGTTACGTTGCTGACGATAGAAGCTCAAGCATATGGACCCAACTCATTAGTGGGAATCAAGGTTGTGGAGTACTGTCCCCCTTCCCAGTCTGCCGGGGAACCGTCTGCCCCAGTCAGCTCACAACCCATGCTCCCTGCACAAAGTAAGTTTTGAGTAAATATTTAAAAAAATAAAAAAAATACCATGAAATTAATAAATGTGTCAAAAGTCATTTAGATTGATAAAAATAGGATTTATACATAAACAATTTACAAATTATGCCCTTTTTTGTGTTTTTAGAGATCAAAAATCCATTGGAGAATTTTCTTCATTTTCATTTGAATGAAAACTTGTTCAATTTCCTTTTTAGCTTATTATAGAACATTTTCATTAAGGAAGGATTAATTGTTCTATTTTACAAAAAATGTTCTCAAATGTATGATGTTATTAAATGATGTCCTGTTTTATTGGTCGTCTCATGTTTACTACACTAGCACAATAACTCCCCAGATGATATGTGTAAGTTTTGTGAGACTAGGGTGATTTGAGTCCAAGGTTGTGCTGCATGGATTTACAACATTCTGACATTTATCCATAGCAATATCATTTTGATTTGAAAGAGAAATAAAAAATGAATATTTTTATCAAACCCCTAAATGGAAGTTAAGTTCAAATTGTGTATATTTTCTACTGGTGTACTTGCAGGGAATGCTCCACAAGCTGCAGCATTGAAACAGAGCGTACCACCTAGCTGTGACGTAGAATCCACAACGTGCAATTGGTGAGAAAGTCATCCTCCGTCTGTAGCATATATTACAGATATGTAGGAGGAATATCATAATAAGAATGTAATCAAGAGATACTTAATTGCCTAAGGCTTATCTGTATGCCATTGTTAATAACAAGCTGACATGTCTATACTTGTATGCTAGATGCCATTCACTTGTCAATAGAATAGAGCTTTTTGTAGAGATGTTATCCAGGTGATTGTCATCAAAATGACTGAAATTAAAGACTTTTTACGCTTTATAGAATTTTACTAGAAGATATATACATTGAAGCTTTCTATGTTTTCAGGTTACAAAGTGCATTTGAAATCAAAGATGGAGGTGATTCCTTGTCACAACTTCATCTCTACGCAGAATATATCACCTTTTCCAAGAAGTACGCACTGCCACAGCTGTTACCAGCTCAGGCTTTCCTCAACTGTGTTAAGTATGTTCACATTCATTTACAATCACCCAAGAATCTTGTCAAATGTGCTGAAATAAGTTCATATATGGGCATGTTTTCTGGCCTGTAACTTCTCATCACCTCAAAAATTTTTCCGGAAACTTCAAATATGGGCATGTTAATCCTTTGACTTATTTCTGATCACCTCAAGATTTTATTATGAAACTGCATTGTTGGATAGCTGATGTCTATCACTTAACAATCTCAGGTCTGTAACCAAAAGGTCAGTGTTGTGGCCAACGTTCAATTATCAAGTGATGTTTGTCCCGATAGCAACTACATGTTTCCTCTAGGTTTTGTTATGAATCTTTATTGATTTCAGTGTCATGACCAGACAGTGTGTCATGTAACACATCCAAAGGCCAAGGTCATAACATGATGTGAAGGACTTAGTAATGCTTGTATTGACAATAACTTTGTATGCCTCAAACTTATATTATGAAACTTGATACTTGCTTCTCAGAATGATGTTTAGATTCCATAATGCAAAAATATCACCAAAATGAGGTCATAAAATGATGTATTGTTGTGTTGTAGAATTGTGTTCCCAAAGATTGAGATGGTAACATTTGGTAAGGATGATGGATCACAGGAGATAGTATACAAAGGTCTTGTGAAGAAACTCAATCCTCCACCATTTGCAGTACACTGTTCAGGTAAATAACACGATCAATGATATTGTCAGTTTAAAGGGTCACAATATGACAACATGTGAGTGAAATAGAAATACAGAAATTTACGTTAATATTAAGTTTTCTTGACATTTTCTTTTGAAATATATTTTGCTTTTTAGTTTAAAATAAAATTCTGTTTATATACTTCAGTGTATTTGTCTTACCAATCTAATGACATGTGACATGTTGCCTGTTGATAAGCCCCCCTGACCTCTGACTGAGCATGTGATGTTGACATTGGACCGTCTTGGAAAGGCTATTCTCACTGTTCACACCTTGTTCACGTTTAATGTTTGCATGGCATTTTGGCTATTCCAATTAACACACATAGTATTTCAACTAGATGTTGTATACTGTATAGATCGTTTTCCTATATTTGATTTTACCAATGCAGTCTAAAGTCTGATAAATAAATTATTTAAATATGTAACTATAATGAGGTTTAAGGCATTTGACATTAAATTTGTAAACATTGGGGCCTTGGTAATATAGTTATCCTTCACTCCCAGAAAAAGTGGCAGTGCATTGTGAGACAGCTGCACAACTGCGATAGTTGTACGTAGAAAAATGGCCAATTTGTCACCTAACACACTATATAGTCAGGAAATCTAGATGTGGGTATTGGATTAGTGGGGCACCACATGCACTGTACCATCGGGTCAATACACACTAACAAAATGTTGGGCAAGATATGCAGAAATTATTATAGGAAGATTCAGAATTGCAATATATCTGCAAAAAGGTTTTCCCACCATAGATGGTCTGTTGCTGTTTAAAGCAATGAATTGATAATTTAAATAATATCTAATGAATACTTAAAAATCCCAATTTTGTTGATGTTCAAACAATTGCTGAACAAAAATATACTTGAATATTTGTGGAGATGCATAAGTTAATTATTTACTCTTATCTGAAGTTCTCAATAGTATTTGCCATAAAACTGATTCTAAAATATGCTAAGATTTGGTATACTGTAAATTATTACCTGTCTTTGAAGACCTTTTTTCTGTGAAGAAATTGTTGGGTTTTTTTTCTTGCCTTTAACTCATTCTGTATGGCAGACTTTATGAATAGATGTCGACAATACATTGTACACATATTCGTTGTTCACAGTATATATGGTTAGAGCAGAATTATTAATTTGGATATCATTGTAGACACTGCATATTTCCCTTTTCCATGTACTGGAGTGTAGCACGTTTAGCCTCCCATTTACTAACATCATTGATTGTCCTTATAATTTTGACAAGAATTTTAATGGAAGGCAATTATATTTACAAAATCTGGTAGAAAAAGTTGCAAATTTAAATATGAAATATACACTTAAGCTACTAAGAATAGCTTAAGAAAAATTGTAAAAAAAGTTTAAAGCAAATATGATTGCCATCCTTATGTATTTATCCAATGTCATATCATTACTTACAGTGATCTAAGTTTACTGCATCAGTTTAACCTGTGTGAAGTTTTATAGCAATTTAGATCAAGGGCTAGTAGATTGATTTGACATAGGGTAAGGATATCTCATTGACATTTTGTCCACTGTTGTGCAAAATCATCAAACCAAGTATAAAATTTCATGTTGTCATCAACATTTTTTCGAATCACTAGGATAGTCAAAGTCCCTTTAGAAATGATGGATTCTATGCTTTCAAAGACTAGTGATCTACTTGTCAGAGTGTTTGGAAAATATGTTAAGGTCATTTGAAAAATGAAAGGGAAGGTGGAGTAATATTGGCAACAGATATTTTTTGTGCTTTGCCTTGTATGCTGTGCACTTTGGTTGATGTGTATTTTGTGAAGTGGATAACAAATGCGGAAAGCACAATCATCTGATCAGCAATTAAAAATTGAGCCTGCCAAGAGCTTATGGTGCGATAATTAGAGCTTAATGATTGGCCAGGGATCTGTTGATATTTAAATATTTAAAAAAAAATCAAAAAAAATCTTACAAGAATGTTCAAAAAGCAAAGATTCAAGTTCTGAAATGAAAAAATCCTGTAATTTAGTTCTAATGAAAGTAGAGATATGTAAGAAGAAAATTTGATGTGGCATTTTAAACAGCCTGATTTGTCTGTTGTATTACCAACATCACCTTTACTGGTAGCTGTGGACACACTATATCAGGTGGCCTCCCTTTGCTTGATGTTGTACTGTACAGCTAGACTTTCTGTTCCACTGTACATTTGTTTCCTGGTATTGTATCTATGTGCCAAATTCTGAAGTGAACATGTTCATATTATATTCAACATTACCACAGGGAAGACTGGCCACAACAGAATATAGATCTTTTATGATCAAATTATACATTTGTTTCAATTGAAATGAAGCATAAGGAGGTAATAGATTTGAAACAACTTTTATGCCGTCTAAGGTCACTTTCTCCTCAAGGTCAAAGGTCAAATAAGTGTAAAATGTCTAGCAATAACTTTTCTAGGCCATAATATATCAATAGTTAGACATTTTGATGAACCTGAGTGTTCTTGCATGTGTCGAGTGCACTGTAATTAGGTCACGTTAACCTTCACTTGGTGTCAAAGGTAAAACATGGGTAAATTTTTTAGCATAATTTTGTCCAGGCCATAACTTTGAAACTTCAAGATCATTTGATGAAACCTAATGTATTCTTGCATCAGCCAAGGAAAGTTTTCACCTCTTGGTCAAAGGTCAGATAAGTGCAAAAAGTTTAGTGAACCCTTGTCTGGTATGTACATTTTAAACATAGAATATTTTTTATGAAACTTGAACAAGACCTGCACCATCCACAGGATATGTGCATTGCACTAAATTTAGGTTCTTGTTACCTTAACTAATAGATTGAAGCCAAAAGAAGTGAAAAATTATTTTGGCTGATAAAGAAAGACATCTTCTTATTCACATAAAATTTATTATGATTTATACAGACAACTAGGATTTACAGTAAATGTAGGATTTACTAGGGAAATACTAGCTCAAACCAGATGATCAGAGAGCAATGAGAGTGCCCCTAAGTGTCTGCAGCAAATGTATATGTTTGATGTTGTATTCATTGTATTGAGCAGCTTTGCATGCATTTTCATCTTGTGGTTTTGCTATTTATTTGAGTATTATTTAGTTCTGTGTTGTATCTATTTTGCTTTCAGTTAAACCTCGTAGTAGTGTTGTGCACCCATCAGCCTTTCCTTCGACAGCATCTAATCCATACGCAACTGTTGACCTAACTCAAACTCCAACACTCAGACAGCGTCTCATGGAACCTCCCAGGTTATCTCCCTTACAAGCATCTCCATCCCTTCTTCCTGCAGGTGGTGCACCAACGCCGGGGAAGAACAGTGCAATATCATCGTCCACATCTATGTTGTTGTCATCCAAAATACAAGCTCATCAGCAATCCACAACATCTGTACAGCAAAGAACACCTACTCGGCCACCTCAACAGCTGAAACAGATTCAACCAGCCCCATCTCCTCATCTGTCACCCTCAATTACTGTCACCAGTAATCACATATCCACCCCAGTTATCTCATCCTCATCCACCTTCACTTCAGTAGGCAGTGCCCAGTTAATTCAGTCTCGTAATGTGTCGGCGCCACAACAGCAGTTTCAACCACAGCAGGTAATGGCCACTGGAGGACAGAATCTTCCTGTGCTTGTTATCCAACAGGTCTGTCAGTCAGACCCGACACAACAGGGCAACTTTCCTGTGTTTGTGCAGGAACCACAACAAAAATCTACGGAAACTCGCATGATAAAAACTCTGTTGGCTAAAAAACTACGACACAACCAGTCAGGGCCAGTGCCCATATGTCCAAAGATGGACCCCAGTAACCCAATGCAGCTTCTGACTTTCACAACCCAGCAGAGCAATGTTATCCAGGAGCAGCTGCAACATCCGTACATGGTCAGCAGCCAGGGTACCACTGCTGTTCTGCCACAGTTCGACCAGCTCAGTCAGATACAGGGCCAGGTACAGGTTAGCTTGGCATTGGACAGTCCACAGTCATACCAGTCTCAGTCATCACCTTCCTCAGGAAGCATGTGCATCGTCCAGTCTAGTCAACTTGGGGTGAGTAATCCCACTCCTCAACAGGGAGTCACCACCACCCATCAGTCGCGGCCGGTCAAGTCAGATAGAGCAGCAAAGAAAAAGAAGAGCGGCAACAGCCCAAGTTGCACGAAATCATCTAGTACCAACTCATCTCGGTCATCATCACCAAAGAGTTTCTCCCCCAAACCACTAGCCACACCAACCCTAGGCCAGATTCCGCCCTCCCCTAACCCTGCATCTCCCAACCCAATGGATGGGGACCTAGAGGTTTGTGGAGAGATTGAGCGTGCCAAAGATGTGGTCACTGTGGGACAGGAGGCCATGATAGAGCGCGTGGAAAACAAGTGTCTCGACCGCATCAAGAACATGCAGAAAACAATAACCACAACCCCCCAACCGTCCATTCAAAATACCAATATTGATTCTGGCCCTTTGCTAGTCCCTCATACTGCTGTCAACACCAGTCCGTTGTCCAGTATCAATGACCAGGTTCTGGATACAGGTCAAGGCAGGAATAACATGCTTAGTGACACAGGTCAGATCATCTCCAGTGTCCGAAGTGAGGACCAAATTGTTAACCCACCTACAATGACTTCAAATGAATGTGGTGGCAACTCGATCTCTGCCATGGTTCTGCCTTCTGGGCCAGACTCAGCCATGGCTTCTGCTACCGTAGAAAATCAAATTCGTGAACAAACTTTATTTCATCGAAACCACAATATGCTACAACAAGAACCACAGAACAATTTCTCAAACATTTTACAGGGGAAGCTGAATGGTGATATTGGAGATTCTGAAGATAGCATGTCTTCTGACATAAACAATGCTAACAACAATCACGCAACAGAGAGGAACCTAGAGAGGACCACAACAAACCCTTCTATCACAAAAGACTTTACAAGTGAAGATGATAATGTGTCGCAGCTGGAGAGTGTGTCAGATATGTCAGAAACAGCTAGGGCAGCTTTGAACCTAGAGGCAAGCTACAATGACATGGAGATGAACAGCATTGACGACTGTGTGGGGGAGGGAGTGGAGGACAACTTCCTCTGTGACGAAGAGGCAATAGAGAAATACAACAACATGGATGACCATGCTGAACAGGTCTTGGAGAACGGAGGTGGAGAATCTCTACTGGAGGGAGAGGATGGTGTCCTACACCCTCCTCGCAGTGAGGACAGTAATCTGAAAGATCTTCCTCCCAAAGAGGAAGCTGTGGTTAAGGACAAACTTGTAGAGGATGTGTCTGCTGTGAATGGTATTCCAGAATATCAGGAGGAGATAATCCCTTCTCCCACACCCGAACCTATTCTCACTAATGGTGTGGACTCTGAAGACAGTTGCTCGGGCATTAAAGAGGACATTCAGAGCGCTGTAGAGTTCAAGGAGTGCATTAACAAGTTCAGTGAAAAAGTAATGCCAAAAATGAACGGCATTATGGTAAACCATGTCACCAATGGTGAGAGGGACCCTTATGAAGGGCACAGTAACGGCATTGACTATGAGCTCAGCAATGATGGATTAATGGGTATTGGACAGGAGAATGGGCGGGCAGAAGAGTCCTCCGACAATGAGGAAGTGAAACATGTTGTCATTCACGCTGGTGAGGGTGACCATGTGGTCATCAATTCACAGGGTTGTCTGGAGATTAATGGTAAAGTAACCAATGTAGAAAACCTGCCAACAACAACAGCACCAAACTCAGCACAAGATGAGGATTCCGAACAAGTCCTGGCTATAAAGAGCATTCTTGAAGAGGCTAGCGAGGAGGAAGAGGAGGGATACAATAACGTGGGTGGACAGCCTGCATGTTATGATCTGACAGAGGAAGGGATGAGCATGGAGACCGAGGAAAATAGTGTTTCTCGTGAACCGGCAGGGGATCCTGATGAAGTTATTATTGAAAATGAAATGTGTTTGAAACCATTAGGTCAGACCGACCAGTCACAGACATCGGATGAAATGACCGAGGTACCAATGGAAGAGACCTCTGTGGACCAATGTCCAGGTCAGGACCAGAATCGGGACACTAATCCAGTTTTAATTCTTGAACCAGACAGCTGTTCTCAGCCAGAACTTCCAATGAATGAGGACTCGACGGACAGTTTACCTGTGTTACCACAGAATAGTGAAGACAACAAAATAGACATTGTGGAGGCTGCTGTGGCCTCATGTGATCTGCAACCCCAGGACGGTATGGATGATATTCCCTGTGCTAATACCATGACTGTGGGTAGTATCGTACAAAGCATACAGGTGATGCCTATCAGTATAGGGGACATGCCAATAGGACAACCACTCCTGGGCCAACCCTTATTGGGGCAGCCTCTTGTAGGACAGCCTGCCTTAGCCAGGCTGCCCTTCCCCACCATCATGGATATTAATATGGCAAATATTTCCAATGACAATATGTTCAAGATAAGCACAGGCGGTGTCAAAGTTGAAACAAGTGGTAACAACTTTATCTACAGCCGTGCCGGCGGTCAGATGGACTTGACTGGAGGGCAGTTACTAGTGTACGAGGATGACAAGTCTCGGTCATCATCCGTCCAGGTGACGGATGTGTGCAACTCGCGCCATGTACCTACGCCTGAGGCATCTCGTGACAGTGAGCTCAGCTGTGATAGTGTCGCCTCATCGCTCACAGACTCCTCCTCCACAGACAAACATTCCATAAACACTGCTATTCAGGGCATACACATGGCAGTTGCTGCCGCATCCACCTCCATCAGAAGTGCTACCACTCCCATCCTAACCTCCACCTCATTCACGCCAACCACGGGCACCAAAAAATCCAGTCATACCTCCCGCTCAAAGTCAGGCGAAAAACGACCCAAGAAACGCAACAGAAACACATCAGGTAGTGCTGATTCAAGAGGTTCTTCTGCTTCATCCACCACCAACACCAACCCACCCAGTCCAGAGTTTGTTTGTGAATGGGCCAACTGTAAACGGTAAGTTATTCCCCAAAACTAGTATTTCATTCATTTTTTATTTCATAATAAGAAGTTAAATCTCCAAAAGAGCAATGTCAGTTACTTGAAAAAATATCAAATTCATCACCACAAATTGTTCTCATGCTTGAGAAGTGACATAACAAGAAGTAATTTTCAAATCTTGCGGCTTAAATCTAATTGCTTGGAGAGAAAAAAAAACAATCTTTATTCTCACAATAGTTACAGACATTTAAACAAATTAAGTTAACGCCTACAATTGTCATAATGTGTTTTGACAACCTGGTATGTTGTAGATGTTTTGAGAACTCCCGGAGTGTGTTTGCTCATGTATGCACCACCCATCTGGCGAGTGATGTGGATGGGGTCTGTCTGTGGGAAGGTTGTGAGAGGCTCCAGAGGAAGCGATGGTCACTGTACACACACATACAAGTAAGTCACTATAGCTAGCTAGTAGTGCACTGATTAATGCACAATTTATCCCAGCCCTGGTCTTATCTGTCACTAAGTGATACAATTTATCCCAACCCTGGTCATATCTTTCTATTATAGTGATAAACACAGTTAATCCCAACCCTGGTCGTATCTGTCTAAGTGATACAATTTATCCCAACCCTGGTCATATCTGTCACTAAGTGATACAATTTATCCCAACCCTAGTCATATCTGTCACTAAGTGATACAATTTATCCCAACCCTGGTCGTATCTGTTTAAGTGATACAATTTATCCCAACCCTGGTCATATCTGTCACTAAGTGATACAATTTATCCCAACCCTAGTCATATCTGTCACTAAGTGATACAATTTATCCCAACCCTGGTCGTATCTGTTTAAGTGATACAATTTATCCCAACCCTGGTCATATCTGTCACTAAGTGATACAATTTATCCCAACCCTAGTCATATCTGTCACTAAGTGATACAATTTATCCCAACCCTGGTCATATCTGTTTAAGTGATACAATTTATCCCAACCCTGGTCATATCTGTCACTAAGTGATACAATTTATCCCAACCCTAGTCATATCTGTCACTAAGTGATACAATTCATCCCAACCCTAGTCTTATCTGTCACTAAGTGATACAATTTATCCCAACCCTGGTCATGTCTGTCTAAGTGATACAATTTATCCCAACCCTAGTCATATCTGTCACTAAGTGATACAATTCATCCCAACCCT